GATGTGAAAGACTAGAGATCTCTTCAAGAAAATTAGAGATACCAAGGGAATATTTCATGCAAAGATGGGCACAATAAAGGACAGAAATGGTATGGACCTAACCAGAAATGGAAGGTGTTAAGAAGAGATGGCAAGAATACACAGAACTACACAAAAAAAGATGTTAATGATCCAGATAACCATATGGGGGCTTCCCTTGCAACTCAGTTGGTAAATAATCTGCCTGCAATGCAGGACACCAGGTTCTATTCCTGGGTAAGGAAGATCCCCTGGCGAAGGAAATGGCAACCCACACCATTATTCTTGCCTGGAGAATCCCATGGGGTTGCAAGAGTCAAACATGAATTAGTGAGTAAACCAGCACCATCAGCCATGATGGTGGGACTCACTTAGAGCCAGATATCTGGAAATGTGAAGTCAAGTGGGCCTTTGGAAGCATCACTACCAACAAAGCTAATGGAGATGATGGAACTTCAGCTGAGTTATTTCAAATCCAAAAAGATGAAAAAAAAAAAAATGATGCTGTGAAAGTGCTGCACGCAATATGCCAGCAAATTTGGAAAACTCAGCAATGACCACAAGACTGGAAAAAGTCAGTTTTCATTCCAATCCCCAAACAAGGTAATGCCAAAGAATGTTCAAACTATAGAACAACTGAACTCATTTCACATGTTAGCAAAATAATGCTCAAAATTTTCCCAGCCAGTATTCAACAGTATGTGAACTGAGACATTCCAGATGTTCAAGCTGGATTTAGAAAAGGCAGAGGAATCAGAGATCAAATTTCCAGCATCTGTTGGATAATAGAAAAAGCAAGAGGATTCCTGAGAAGCCTCTACTTCTGCTTCCATGACTATGCTAAAATTTTTGATTCTGTGAATCACAACAGACTGTGGAAAATTCTTAAAGTGATGGGAATACCAGACCCCCTTACCTGCGTCCTGCAAAACCTGTATGCAAGTCAAGAAGCAACAGTTAGAACCTGACATGTAACAACAGATGGGTTAAAAAATGTGAAAGAAGTATACCAAGGCTGTATATTGTTACCCTGCTTATTTAAATTCTATGCAGAGTACATCATGTGAAATGCCAGGCTGGTTGAGGCATAAACTGGAATCAAGATTGCCAGGAGAAACATCAATAACCTCAAATATGCAGATGACACCACTTTTATGGCAGAAAGTTAAGAGGAACTAAAGAGCCTCTTAATGAAAGTGAAAGAGAGTGAAAAAGCTGGCTTAAAACTCAACTTTCAAAAAACAAAGATCATGGCATCCAGTCCCGTCACTTCATGGCAAATAGATGGGAAAACAATGCAAACAGTGACAGACCTTATTTTCTTGGGCTCCAAAATCACTACAGATGGTTTTTCTGCACCCATGGAATTAAAAGACACTTGCTCCTTGAAAGGAACGCTATGACAAACCTAGACACCATATAAAAAAGCAGAGACTACTTTGCCAACAAAGGTCCATCTAGTCAAAGCTATGGTTTTTCCAGTAGTCATGTATGGATGTGAGTTAAGCCATAAAGAAGTCTAAATGCCAAAGAATCGATGCTTTTGAGCTCTGGTGTTGGAGAAGACTCTTGAGTGTCCGTTGGACTGCAAGGAGATCCAACCAGTCCATCCTAAAGGAAATCAGTCCTGGGTGTTCATTGGTAGGACTGATATTGAAGCTGAAACTCCAATACTTTGGCCACCTGNCATTAGAAAAGACCCTGACGCTGCAAAGATTGAAGGCTGGAGGAGGAGGAGATGACAGAAGATGAGATGGTTGTATGACATCACTGACTCAATGGACATGAGTTTGAGCAAGCTTCGGGAGTTGGTGAAGAACAGGGAAGCCTGGCGTGCTACAGTCAACGGGGATGCCAATAGGCAAACATGACTGAGTGACTGAACAACAACAAAAATAACAACTTGAGCCACTTAATGAAATTAACGTATTGTATAATTAGCATTAGGTGACAACAGGAGACCATTACAAGGCATCAAAATCCCATTTTTTGAACATTACAACTTCTCTAGAACTGTGCTGAATCAGTTGGATGCACCTTGTTTGGTTGTCTTCCTTCTCCTTTGTACTTTCAAACTCACTTTAATCTTTATGAAAACATGCTATTGCCTAAAAATCAGGACAATTATTGCTTTATCAAATTGTGAGTGAAGTCTATATTTCAATTTTTAATGCTGAAAAGTTACAGAGATCATTTCATATCAAATTTAAGAACTAACAATAAAGAAAAATTAATGCTATAATTCTTTCAAGATCAAGAATCCCTAGGAAAAGTGGCAAGAAAAGTTAAAAGAAAGAAAAACAATAAAATTAAAAATCAATCAGCATGTTAATGTCTATGTATCTGCTATGAGCTGTGGACTCATATGTGTTATTCCCTATGGGCTTTACTTAGCTCTCCAGTGCTAATTAAATTAAAAGAAATGGAAAGATAATTTTCCTAAATTTCCAATATCTGTTTATTTTATCTGAATACTTGCTAGATATGATTTAAAAAGTTTTCAATTTTCATCAAAGTAGCATCCTGGAGTGACAACTGTAATTAAATTTTCATTATGATTAGACACTTACATTAGTTCAAGCTTCAATGTCTGGATTATTATATTTGCCTTCCAATTCAGCTTTCTGGATTTATAATCTCCTATTACAATCTACTCAGGAGTAATCATTATAAAATAATAATCTAGTGGTGCCCCATCTCAAACCTTCTAGAGGTTCCCTCAGCACCATCTGCAATATGGCATAGAGAAACATTTATGATATGGCATAATTTACTTAATGTAATTATGACATGTCACAGGCTGCCATTTATCTGTGAGTTTATCCATTCTCTCACCTTTCTTTTTGAAAGGAAATCCCTAACCCCTCCCATTTTCCTTCTCACCAGTATGCATCCTTCATGAGTCAACTTCAATATCACCCTCTTTCTCTGTTTTCGGCACATGCCCCTCATAGATTAGTCACCTTGTTTGATTGGTGTAACGGAAGCTGTCAATGGCCCACATATGTCCCTCAGAGTAAGTATTCACTCTGGTCAACTACCCTCTGCTAGTAACTGCTAGTAACTTATATCAGATTTGCAGAGAACTGGTTGCTTAGAGGCAGGAAGTGCAGAAAATATACCCCCATCCACAGCATCACTGACCAAGAAATCTCAGGTTTTAGTGTGTGAAATTACCAGTCCCATCACTCTCAGGATCAGTAATTCTGGGGAATGTGTTTGTGTCATTTCCCAGGATCTGCCCTGTGGATTAAGCTCTAGTTCTCTTAATTGCAGCTGGTGAATTGCAATTCCTTTATTGGCTTCCTTCTCTTCTCTGCATCACTTCCACTTCCTCACTTTCCTACTAGTAATACTTTAAGGTCTCAGAAAGAAACCATTTATACCTGAAACCTTGTCTCTAAGTTTGTTTGTTTGTTTGTTTTTTTCTTTACTTTGTAGAATCCACAGTAAAACTTTCATACCAGAAGTATTGTGTGGGATTCTGGAGTTGAATGGCTTGTCGGCCACATGATATCAAGACCACCTGGCATGTTGTGACAAAAATTTACAGGACTCTCTCTTGTGGTGAAGTAGAAAGGCATAAGGGGATACATGCCTCTCATCAATTTCTCCAGGATTTGAGAAATATAGTGACACTCATAATGACAATGACTATTGAGGTGACGGTTGTTGCAAGTATTGTCAGTGCTCTCAGGAAAAAAAAAAAAACTGATTAGCCCAAGCCTAAATAATAAGTTCTCCATGACAGTATTTAAAGACACCCTCCTCTTTTAAAGTTAGAGAGGAGATTGGACTGAAAAATGGACCTTTTGTTTGACTGTAATGGTAGTTGAATTGTAGAGATATACTGCAAAGCACTAGCAAATCTCTTTTTTATAACTCCAGGGTCTGAGAGGAAAGAGGTAGGATTCTAAAACCTGAACTTGGGAAAGAAGGTGTATTCTTTCTTTGTACAGAGACCACATAGATGCCTTATCTGAGGTCAACACTCCAAAATACATGTATGTTCCTTCAAAAATTTCCTTCATCTTATGGTTTCTGGACCACTATGTTCAAGACCAGGCATTCCCTAACTGAAAAAAGCATTGTCTCTGATTTAAGAAAAACAGGATTATTCATCAAAAGGGTAACAAAAACTGGCTAATATTTCCAGTTAGAAATTAAGAGAACATGTCTAGGAATGAGTGATGAGTACACTGGACAGGAATGTGTCTGAAATATAAGGTGCACTTGTTATTTAGTCACTAAGTCATATTTGACTCTTTTGCAACCCTATGGACTATAGGGTCTAGCCCTATAGCCTATAGCCCACCAGGCATCTCTGTCCATGGGATTTTCCAGACAAGAATACTTGAGTGGTTTGCCATTTCCTTCTCCAGATTATCTTCCAGGAAGAGGGATTGAACCTGAATCTCCTGCATTGGCAGGTGGAATCTTTACCCCTGAGCCACCAGGGAAACCCATAAGGTACACAGGAGATGCTAAAAATATGTTTACACAAGCAAATGACTGTACATTTAAACATTTGTGTTTTGGGTATGCAATTCCAAATTTATACTTAATGGTACTACTAGTGCCACCTGGGAAGCCTGTGGATAATTACATACTTCTCTAAAAATAATTTCAGGAAATAAAGATATATATTAAATAAGAAAATAATACTCTCAAATAAATCAATGTTTAAATTACACAATGGTCATAAAATATAAATCAACAAGCTTAAAAACTTAAACAGAAATGTACACAATATGATTAATAAAGAAAAAGTCTTGAAAGTTATCCAGCACAGTGATCAAGGATGAATGTACTTTATTACCATCTTGGCTTATACCCAAGTGATTTTGCTGATTGCTTTCAAATAATTCTGATGTCCATCATTTAACACACAGCATTAGTTGAATCTCTTTTCAAATTAAAGTGTAAAAAATTTACTCACTTATAAATAATATATTTAAGATACATATACATACTCCACTTACCCTTACTTGACCCACAAAGGCATTAGCTTCTTCTTCTACCACTGACAGATTTCTGGGCAGATAGGGATCAAACACTGGTGCGTTGTCATTGACATCTGTCACCACCACGTTTACTGTGGCAGTTGAGGTCTTAAAGAAAAAAAAAAAAGTGATTAAATGTGAGAGGAGTTATTTTTATTTTGATGTCAGTTAATTGGTTATCCGGGCATTTGTCTATCTGAAAAGCATTTCATTACCATTCCTATTCCTTAGCTTTCCAAAAAAAGACAAGGAAAATAAAGAAGCTGGCAATCTTCAAACACCTCAAAAAATAAATAAATAAAAGTCAGATGTGGAAAACAAATGATGACATTAAAGGGCAAGCATCTTCTTGAAAATGTCAAGTATTTCCCGGAGGCTTACTTTCAGAAAGTGCTTTTACCTTTATCTTGTTCACATTTTATGGATGGTAAGCTTTTGTTTATATACACATGCACCTTTTTTTCTCTGAAATGTAACATTTCTGCAGTTTTTACCATGTACATGTTGCACTGTTCAAAAATATAACTAGTACATTATAAGATAGCATGGTATATCAAATGGGCATTTTCAGGTCAGTAAATACTATATTAGTAATTTTCTAGATACACATCTAAACCGAAAGTTTGAGTATCATACACCGCTAATTAAAAAAAAAAAAAAAAAAGAAAACCTTATAGTTATACAGCCTAAGGAAATGGTAAGTGGGCAACCCTACCAGTGGTATGTGCTTCCTGGTTAAAAGGTGAAATCCCTGGCCTGATGCAACCTGAAAATATAACTTAGGTTAATGACTTTTGCACAATCAAGGAACATCTTCATATGTGATGCAAATTGGAAACTGCTCTTTCTAATCAAAGCCTGAGTATAGTGTATGCCCTCCAACCATCTCTGTCACATGGTGGGGAAGATCACAGAAGGCTGAGACCAAAATTAGAGAAAGCTAAGCTGGAAAATGAAAAACCCATTATGCTATGATGTTAAATATTTAATAGCATGCAAATAAAAAGTAGGAGGAAAAAGCAGGATGAAACTATCATGGGTGAATTATTTACATTTATTTTTAAAAAATACAAAAAATTATCCTAATCTGTTTAAGTGAGTTGGAGTAAAAGACTAGAGAGCTGAACGTAAAGAACTGACTTAAAGGAAGTGAATCTGAAGAAATTTTGCAGTGGTGATGGGACTGTAGATGAGTCACAAAACTGGATTTCCTAACTGCTAAGACCTAGATAACAATGATGGTGTGATAACTCACCTAGAACCAGATATCTTGGAGTGTGAAATCAAGTGGGCCTTGGGAAGGATCCCTACAAACCAAGTTACTGGAGGTGATGGAATTCAAGCTGAGCAATATCAAATCTTAAAAGGTGATGCTGTGAAAGTGCTGCATTCAATATGCCAGCAAATTTGGAAAACTCAGCAGTGGCCACAAACTAGAAAAAGTCAGTTTTCATTTCAATCTCAAAGAAAGGCAATGCCAAAAAATGCGCAAACTACTGCACAATTGCACTCATTTAACACCCTAACAAAGAAATACTCAAAACTCTCTAAGCTAGACTTCAACAGTTTGTAAACTGAGAACTTCCAGATGTTCAACCTGGATTTAGAAAAAGCAGAGGAACCAGAGATCAAATTTCCAACATCCACTGGATCATAGAAAAAGCAAGAGAATTCCAGAACATCTACTTCTACTTCATTGACTATTCTAAAGCCTTTGACTGTGTGTATCACAACAAACTGTGGAAAATTCTTAAAGAGATGGGAATACCAGACCACCTTACTTGCCTTCCATGAAACCTGTATGCAGGTCAAGAAGCAACAGTTAGAACTGTCATGGAACAATGGACTGGCTCAAAATTGTGCAAGGAGTATGTCAAGGCTGTATATTGTCACTCTGCTTACTTAACTTTTATGCACAGTACATCATGTGAAATGCTGGGCTGGATGAAGCACAAGCTGGAACCAAGCTTGCTGGGAGAAATATCAACAAATTCAGATATGCAGATGAAACCACTAATGGCAGGAAAGGGAAGAGGAACCAAAGAGCCTTTTGATGAAAAGAGGAGAATGAAAAAACTGGCTTAAAACTCAATATCCAAAAATGAAGATTATGGCATTTGGTCTCATCATTTCACGGCAAAGCGATGGGGAAACAATGGAAACAGTGACAGATCTCATTTTTGGAGGCCCCAAAATCACTGCAGATGGTGACTGCAAACTTGAAATTAAAAGACACTCACTCCTTGGAAATAAAGCTGTGACAAACCTAGACAGCATATTAAAAAGCAGAGACATTGTTTTGCTGACAAAGGTCTGTCTAGTCAAAGCTATGTTTTCCAGTAGTCTTATATGGATATGAAATTTGGTCTGTAAAGAAGGCTGAGTGTCAAAGGATTGGTGTTTTTGAGCTCTGGTGTTGGAGAATACTCTTGAGAGTCCCTTGGATTTCAAGGAGATCCAACCAGTCAATTCTAAAGGAAATCAAATGAATATTCATTGGAAGGACTTATGCTGAAGCCGAATACTTTGGCCACCTGATGCAAAGAGCCAATTCATTAGAAAGCACTCTGATGTTTGAAAAAATTGATGGCAGTAAGAGAAGGGGACAACAGAGGATAAGATGGTTGGATGGCATCACTGACTCAATGGATATGAATTTGAGCAGGCTCTGGGAGATGGTGAATAACGGGGAAGCCTGGTGTGCTACAATCTTTAGGGCCAGAAAGTGTTGGACATGATTGAGTGACTGAGCATCAACAAAGGAGGAGAGGTCCTAGTAAATTCCCCATCCTTCCTGTTGGGATAATTGAAGTTCTATCCTCTATGAGTAAACAGCCTTGTGTCTCAGATAGTAAAGAATCCGCCTACATGCAGGAGACCCAGGTTTGATCCCTGGGTCTGGAAGATCCCTTTGAGAAGTGAATGACAACCCATTCCAGTATCCTTGCCTAGAGAATTCCATGGACAGAGGAGCCTGGAGATGGAATCACAAAGAGTCGGATATGACTGCATAAGTACAAGACCAGGCCTTACTCAAATCAAAACCCAATAGTCAAATTTTGGTTGGATTTATCTGATCCATCCTTATTTTAAGAGATGTATAATACATCTTATTTTGAGCAATATAATTTTATTCTCTCTATAAATTTTCATATATTATATCCAGCAGTCATTAAAAATTTATCATGCATAGGAAGGAATTCTTGGGTATTAATAATAGTTTACTTGGGTACTGGCTACATCAATAGGTTTATTTTGTGAAAATTTATAGTTATTCAGTATGCTTTGAATACATTTCTATATTTAAAACTCCAATAAAAGTTTTCCTTAAAGATATGTCAGAGACAAGGAAAGGGCTTAGGGGAATGAAGAAGGGACTTGGGGGATAAAAGCCAGCAGGCAAGGACATCGATGGAAGAAGGACAGAGCATCATCTCGTCCAGTGCCCTGGGTAGAACAGGAACAGCAATAATAAAAATGTCTTTCAATAAGAAAAAAAGAAAAAGAAAGAAATACCGAAGATAAGCAGAACAGTGTTGTAGAGCCAAAGCCAGGAAGCAAACTAAACACCCACCAACCATTATATAATATATTGTGTTTTTTGCTAAAATTAAATAACAAGTCATAGTAAAAATGTATAAACTACTATTATAAGTAGTCACATCAATGAATTTTATGAACATAAGGTTGAGTGTATGAGGTCAGACACAATACATACTACATAATTCAAAGTATATAAATTTCAAAGATTGGCACAAATTCTCCAATGTGATAGAAGTCAGGATAGGGATCATTTTTGTGAAGAAGATAGAGTAGGGCTAGTATAACTGTAAGGCTGGGCTCCTGGGGTGTTAATTTCAGTTTCTCACTCTGGGTGACTATACAAGTGTTTTCACTGTGTTAAAATTCATTAAGTTGCACAATTATAGTCTGTTCACTCTCCATGAAATCATTTAATTTAAAGGATGCATGCACACCAACTTACACTGGTGTGCAGATATATATGGATATGTATAAATTCAGATGTTACATGATTAGGTGAAATATAGATCCTGTTATTTTCTCCTTTTGACTTTTATCAATTTATTAATATATTCTCCAAAATTTCTCTAAGAGAACTACATTGCTTTAAAAACAAAAATCAGTTTAACAAATATTATATCTTGTTTAAAAGTTGTGTTACTGTTAAAGCCAGTAAAAAGATGTGTCTTTATGGTAGCAGTAGCTCCCAGTTTGCCTGAGATGAATGAGACATTAAAATGGACAGCCTGGACCTGAAATTCAAGAGTTGCCACATTAGAGTTTGCTGACCTTCTTTCTAACTGCTTGCATAAAATGCCAAACTATCTGTATTTCCCTGTCAATCTACTGTACTGATGTCCATCTTATTCTTTAAACTTCTGATTATTAACACTATGGAGTGGTATGATTTTAGATTATATTGAGTCTTGAAAGGCTGTGGTCTGTAACTGAGCGATATAGATGAGAAATGATCACTAGGTGAAGTAAAAAATTAAATAATAAGTCTACCATTTCTGTGCTGATTCGGGCTGCAGTTTATGGACCATATAGATCTATTTATCCATATTTTAGAGACTGTATATGAAATAAAAAATAGCCATGTGTCTGGCAGAAATGTAATCAACACATATAGAATAACTTCCAGCTTATGTATTTCTCGGAAAGTGGTCTGAAGATTACTTGTATCATCATTAAAAATACATTTCTGGACTACCCATTAGAATCACTGACTCTATTCTGCAATATGCAAATTATATCTTTGCAATTTATCTTACATATATTGCTGTTGATTCTTTTGACTTAAGAAAATTCAATTTACCAGGGTTTCGTGCTCATTAAATATCTTTCTTAAGAACAATCATTATTAAAGTTAAAATATTAATTTTACTATAAGTCTACAAAGGACATACATTTAAATACTTACATAAGGAAAGTGTTCTAAAAAATAAGACTACTATATTTTGTAATTATTTTATTCTTCAACTACCCACTATATGTGCACATGTATAAGTCAATTTCTAAAGTTATATAAATGATAAAGCTGACTAAAGAAGCTTTTGTTCAAAATTTAAATGTTTTTTTCTCTACTGATATAAACTTCTGTAAATAAAACAAATTTGCTTAAAAGAATCAGAATTTTAAAACGTATTCATTCTTATAGAAAGAAAAATTGGGGGAAGAAGAGAACTGAAATTAACAAGCAAATAAATGGAAAAAAAAAAGTTCTAGAAAGAACTAAACCACTAATGTTAGCCAGAACTTATTTTCAGTTTTTGATGTGGGCAAAGTCATAATTAGTAGACTGGTATGATGACAGATAGCTTAATAAGTTTCTTTTCCATCTTTATTCTTGTCTAGGAAATCTTCCTTTTAAAGCCAGTGGTAGAAGGTCTTAGTGTTAATGGTATTATTTCCATTAATTTATGATTCATAACATTACATATATCAAATGGTTGAGCTAAAACCTCCTTACTATATTTACTTCACTTTAACTATACCCGTTAATCTATGCTGAATAATTCCTCCCTTTCCATAGAATTTTCCCCTTCAGTTAACTCCCAGCCAATTTGCCCATCAATCTTTCATCATTAAGTCAAGTCTCCAATCATTTTCTTCTTAAGACTCTCACTGACTTCTTTTTTTTTCTCACTGACTTCTTTACATATGTCTTACACAGACACACTATAGTAATTAAGGGAATTGAATATGTAAATATTAATCTTAGACTTTAATTTTACTCACTTGTCTAATCTCTAAGTGCTTACACTTAGGTTTACTATTTACTAAAACTGTTGTGCATATTTTATATTTCACATATAGTTGTTATCTAATGTTTGAAAAATAACTTATTATGGGCAGACTGCAATTACCAAATTTAAATAATTATCATTATCTATTTTTGTTATTTTTAATTAAGATGATAAAACTGTCTAGTATCAATTTGTATGTTCTGACCATGATAAACTTTCCACAACGATTCTCTACAAATAAATGTGAGGAGAGTATTATATGCTCCCTCAGTCTATTTTGATCAAAGAAGTTATGTCAAGTAAACTGGAGATATGCTGCTATTTGGGTTGGGTGAGTATTGCCTAGACACTTACACTGAATTTGAAATTATTTCCAGAGAACAGCGCTGAGTTGACCCATAAGTAAAAGTAAAAGTCACTCAGTTGTGTCTCTTTGCAACTCCATGGGCTATAGCCTGCCAGGCTCCTCTGTCCACGGAATTCTCCAGGCCAGAATACTGGAGTGGGTAACTGTTCCCTTCTCCAGGGGATCTTCCCAACCCAGGGATCAAACCCAGGTCTCCCACATTGCAGGTAGATTCTTTACCATGTGAGCCACCAGGGAAGCCCATAAGCATTTGACTAAAGAAAAAACCACTTTGTAACACCAAAATGGTGGGAAAAAGACTAATAAATCATTGCCAACAATGCATTATCATATTACTTAAAAATCAGAATGGTGGTAGTTCTGGATAGGTGGAGTGAAAGCAACCAAATGATTTTAAAATATCCCTGCATAAGCAAACAATTTATTTATTTTTAATATTGATTTTCAGATGCAAAGGAAATGAAGTTTATCTTCTCTAGAATTATGGTCCCTCTTAAACCACTTCAATCATCAAGGATTAGTCAATATTCTGCAATATTAGTCATTATGCCACAATAACCTGTGGAAACAGTCAACTTGATTTCCTAAGTGCTTCACCATATTTATACACAAATTACCTTCCATTCACTGTCCCCGACCTCAAAAAAGTGACACCAAGGAATTTGTTTCCTACATGGTCAAACTGCCAGACCGGCCAGGCTAAGCTGGTGATGGACGCAATGAAATACTTCTTACACTAAGTTAGATTTCACTTTCCCCATAAATTGGGTAAGAAAGCTAATCCCAAGTGTCTATTATTCTATCAAGTCAAAAGTTTCAGCTCCATAACAAGTTCAGAGTATAGTTTCATCGATTAAAAGAGCTCATTCAAGAAGAAAAACACTTTGAGTAATTTTAAGTAGCTTTTCCAAGTGAAAAAAATATTAATTCAGGAATTAATGGCTGTAACAAATCATTTCAGAGGGTAGAACTATACGGTTTTCTCAATTTCTTTAGTACTATTTTTAAAACCCTTTCCCCAAGAGAGTACTCACCCCATCTGGCCTGCCATCAGAAGCAGTGATGATCAGAATGTAGCGGTCAGTGCTTTCCCTGTCCAGGGCTTTCCCTAAGGTTAGAATTCCAGTACTAGTGACAGAGAAAACAAACAAAAAGATGAGGCACAAAAAGATATTACATCACTGGGAGCCTTCCTACCGTTATGAACTACGCTTGATAGTTTCTTTTTTTTCCCCCTTCCACAAATATAGCTTGAGTATTTAAGATGTTTGTTTCTAGGATTCATGCTGAAAATTGAAAAAGGCTTTTAAAGCTGTTGAGCTTCTTAGCAATAATGAAAAACTGCCAAACTAAATGAGGTAACTGGGTTGATTCTATAGCCTCCAAAGTGGGGGGGAGCAGAATATTGCCTAATTCATCCCAGGAAGAAAGATATCTATCTTGTTTGTGATTATTTCCAGGGTAAAAGAGTCCATTAATCTTTAGCTGTTCCAAAATCCTATGAGTAAAGAAGTGGTTTCTTTAATCTAGCAATAGCTTACCACTCCCATTCATTGTCATATATGTGACCACTACGGAAATGCAAACATCTACATTTCACCTTTGATAAAACTTAGAGATTAAAATTTATCTTTCCTTTTTTTTTTTTTTCAAATTTCAATATGACTGAGGCTTATTGTAGATAATTGGAAAATACACAGTGGAATTATCAAAAATTTCACAGATATTGTGGCTATTTTTTAGTATTTCTTTTTTATTTTCTATTATAACCATATTTTGAATACATTATAATTGCTTTCAAAAGAACACTTAGGCTTCATATTTACAGTTTTTTCAGATAATATAATTTTATGAGCATTCATCCTCTCATTTTACATTTTATAAAAACAAAAGCTTTTGTTGATATACTAACAATTTAACCATTTTGTTATTCTCTCGAGATTTAGACATTTCTTAAGCATTATGTATAATGGGAGATGAGCAGCCTTTGGGAAAATTCTCAGAGTATTTTTAAATCAATCTTTTCATTGTTTAGAATACATACATTGAAATATTTAAGATTTTATCCTCCCAAGTAATTTGTTTTATAACAGTTTGTCACTTATAATGTTCTTTAAAACAAATTCTACATTTATGTCTTAGATATTCCAGTCTAATATTGTGTATGACATTTTAATTAAGGCCTAATAAGCATCTACTTTGAGGAGAGGTTACATTGATTTAACAAAACATTTAAATATTTATCAAGACAAAAGCACATTATTTCTGATAGATAAAAAGCTTTCATTTAATGCAAGTGCTTTTGCCCCTACAGTGGAATTTAAAGAATTCACACTACATATGCTAGTTAAGTACAGAGATTCAATGCCAAGGAATCAAGATCAGAGTTGCAGTTATTCTATTGGTTTTATTGTTGTTATTGATATGGACTAAAAGAAAAGTTTTAAACATATGGTATGACTATAAAAAATTGACTTTGTTTCTGGTACACTTTAAATTGTTTTGTTAAATAACTGAAAACCAATTCCCAGATTAGTTCATAACAATCAGGTTTGGATCAACTTCCCACACTGTAAATGGTTTGAATAATCTCATTCTAAAATGACATTCAAAGAGAAAAGTAAGACATTTATTACTTCTGAGACTTATTCACAAGTTAACTTGAGAAATAGAAAACCTGAAAACTTATTCACAGTACAATGAAAGGAAGAAAAAAATTGAGTTATTGTTTTCCATTTTCGTCCTCAGTTTAAAGCTCAAGACTATATCATTCCTTGTATATTAAATTAGAAAATCACTAGAAATTTATATTTTATAAGAATTTAGAGCCATATTATACCTAATTAGCTTATTTTTCATGGTCTCATGATTATTATGGAAATAGTCCTTTGCTTAGGATAATATGTGCCTTGTGTTACAGTGTAATAGAGAGACAGGATACTTGCAAGATGGAAAAACAGAGAAAGAATAGGTAATTGTCTTTTGGTATTTATAGCTGAAAGACTAGCTTACGAGTCCACACAAGCATCCTTTCATGAAATTCTGGAAATAACTGGATAGGAGGACTCTGCTATCTGCTGGATGGAAGCTATAGGGCACAATACATTAGGCTGCATTTAGGAATGGCGCAAATCCTATCAGTAACATACTAAAAATATGTGAGACTCCCTCCTGGTAAAACATCAATAATAGTGCTAATTGAATTTTACATAATTTAAAATCTACTGCACAGGACTGAATTCAGTAAAAGTGGTGACCCAGACAGCTTGAAGAGGTGACCTCTCCAAAGAAATGTCAAAAAATGAAGCAACTTTGATAGGACTCTGGAAAACAGTCAAAGGTTGACAGCGCGCAAATGGAGGTAGATTAAAGAAAAAGACGACTTTAAAAATTGCTGATAATAAAGAATTGTTCCCTTTTTCCTGTCCTTGCCCCATCTCTTCCTGACTTAGAGTGGTCTTAAAAATGGTGATCAACATCCCCAGCGTGATACTTTAGCCCTTGCGTCTGAGGCAGCAAAACTACCCTTATTCACAAAGTATTGGGTTTGTCTATTCCAGCTGGTCTCAAAGGCTGCCTGAAGGAATAACATAGCTTTGTCTTTGTTTTGTCTAAAAAACAGAATTCACTCAAGGTGAAAAAGCAGTGGGTATTCCTGGAAAACGGTGTAAGTCAGGGAGCAATCTGCAGTCACCTAAGGCAACAGATGGTGTTTGCAGCGTAAAGTGGAAAACGAAAAGCCTGGAAGGGAAAACTAAATAGAGACTTTCCTGGAAATTTAGGGCACTCAAAAATGCCTAAGTATACTGGCGAATAAAATTGAGAGTCTGTAAATGAACCTATATGTCTGTGACTAACTGATTTTCAAAAGAATCCTAAGATCATTCAATGGTGAAAGAAAAGTCTCTTCAACAAATAGTTGCTGGGGCAACAGGAGATCTCCATGCAAAAGAATGTATTAAAAAAAATATTAGAAAAACTCAAAATGGATCAACAATCCATATGTAAGTACTGAAACCGTAAAACTCTGAGACAAAAACATAGAGATAAATCTTCATGATTTGGAGTTTGACAATGGAATCTTAAATACGATAACAAAAGCATGAACAGCAAGAGGAAAAAATATATACTGAATTTCCTCAAAGTTAATTTTTTGTGTATGAAACTACAATATCAATAAAATGAAAAAAATCCTACAAAATGGGAGAAAATATTTACAAATCATATATCTGATAAGAGTCAGTTCTCCAAATACATAAAGGACTTGGTACAACTCAAAAACAAAAGAAACAAACAATTCAATTAAAAGATAGGCAAAGGATTTGAACAGATATTTCTCCAAAGAAGATACACAAACGGCAGATAAGCACATGAAAACATGCTCAACATCATTAGTCATCAGGGAAATAACAAATCAAAATTACAATGAAATACTACTTCACATTCACTAGTATGACTATAATTAATAAAACAGGTGAGGAAAATAACATGTTGATGAAAACATGGAGGCATCAAAACCCTTCTACATTGCTGGTGGGAATGTAAAAAGGTCAGTCACTATGGAAAACAGTTTGACAGCTCCTCAAAAAGTAAATACAATATTATGACCCAGAAGTTACAATTCTGGGTATATATGCAAAAGAACTGAAGAAAAGTGCTTAGTATTGCAAAGTACACACACATACACACACACACACACACACACATATATATATATATATATATATATATATATATATGCAGTATCGACAATAGTCAAAACAGAAAAGCAGTCCAAATTTCCATCAATGTATGGATGGATAAACAAATTGCTATGTATACATGTAACACAATATTATGCAGTTATTAAAAGGAATTAAGTACAGAGATACACTTCAACATGGAAGAACTCTGAAATCCTTAGACCTGGTGAAAAAAGTAAGACACAAAACATCACCTATTGTGTCCTTCTGTTTATAGGAAATATCCAAAATAAATAAACCCACAGAAGTTGAACATAATCAGGTGATTGCCGGTGGCTGAGGAGAAGGGCAAGTAGGGAGTAACTGCTTAATGGGTTTGTTCTTCCTTTTGGGATGATGACCATGTTATGGAATTAGATAGAACTGATAGTTATAGAACATTGTGAGTCTACTAAATGCCACTGAATTTTTGACTTTAAAATAGTTAATTATATACTATGTGAATTTGGCCTCAATTATATTAACTATGTTGCACAGAATTCCCTCACCAAACACTAAGGCTATAGTAGACAATGAATTGGTTTGCCAAACCATAAAAATAGTGTTCAAAAGTTGTTTATACAATGTAGATTAAAAATAGTAGAGGGTATCTACTGCCAAACAAACCAACCTGCTATTTAAGTGTTCATTTTCTCCAAATCCATCATTTATTAGGAACTACTGCAGCAGCATAATTATGCATTGAAAGAGATTGTCTCACAGGTTTCATGCTTTGTGTTCTATTCTTCCTTTAATCTTTTTCAATACATTCTATTAGTTGTGATTAATATTATTTACACTTACAAGTGTCTGACTTTCACAAACTTATCATGCAGATATGGGCATCATCTTTTCAGGCCTTAAAATGATAGAGAGGTTAGAGTGTACTTCAAAATGTGTGATTGTTTCTAGTTTGATATGGCATTCCATGTTAGGCAGTAATTAGTGATTAACAAACACAGACTAATAGAAAGAGTTAGATACTGGTAGTAGTTTAGGGAGAAGATGATGGAGACATGAACTAGTAGTGTGAAAAGGATGATTGAGTATGTATTTTGAGAGTACAGCTGACAGAAAAAAAGCATATCATATTTTTATATATTAATCTTCAGTGTAGTTTAAATTGACATGAAAAACATAATCAAGCTTTAAATTTAGTGTCAAAATTAATTAGTCACAAAGAAAGAAATAAAAATGCCAGTGAAGATATAAAATCTTCAAAGAAAATTCTAACAAGGGGCAGAAATAACTCTGGGTTCTTCTGTTCAGCACTTAGCCTTTAAGTGTTACATGACATGCCTTATGCTACAATGATGATAATCAATAAGAATTCCTCAATCTCCTGTAATAAATAACTTATATATTGGTCATAATAGTTACAAAGGAAGTTTCTTTACATCTGGCTTAAATGTTTAGTTAATAGTGAATGCTTACTGAACAAATATTTGATGAATAATATACAACTATTAGAACAGACATAAAGTTATTAATATATTATGCTAAAGAACCATAAAGATATAACCATTTAATACATGGTGCTAAATGATCTGCATAATGGATGATTGTTCTCTTTAAGGAAGAAGCATTTTTCTGTAAAGAAGAAGTTTTTTCCCTGGCCATATGACTAATCCACTAATCTAAATAAAGCGCATATAACAATTCAACACTTAGTCAATTCATACTAGCATCTAAATGATTATTCATTACTACTAACATTTTTTAAAAATTATAAAAATGCCTTGGTATATTTTTATTTCAATGGAGAAAAGGTAAAGTAATGATATCATAATGATGATTATTGCTAACTCTGGCATTAGAGAATAAAATAATATAATGTTTAATATAAACAATAAGCATGTACTTCTTTTGTTTTAAGAAGGAAAATGTAACCAAGATCACATACACTACTTAGATGAATTGAAGCATCTGATAAGAGAGAACATTAATTGTTTTCTATTATTTTTGGAGAGAGCACCCGAATTACTCAAATTCTTAAAACGTACACAGAAGTGGTGATGCAAATTTGCACAAGTATCCCAGAAGTATCGAAGGAAGCAGGAATTAAAGTATCAATTTTTTTCTATTTCAAATGTGTTGAAATATATTGCTAAGGGTCTAGACCAGCCTATACATATCAGTGGGAACAAGAGCAATGTGTTGGCTGAAACAAAATCACCATAAAATAAAAGGCAATGTGCTCAGTGTACAGACCCTGAATCAAGAATGATCATTGAAAGAGACCATGCAATCATCACAGAGACCTGACCTATTCTAGCTGTCTGGAAGCAGTTTGCATTCAAGGATATTTCTGTCTGATTAGCTCAATTCAGACAAAGAGGATGCTGCATTGGTATCTTTCACACCTTAAAGAACCTCTGATTCCCAGTTAGGTTTTTGTCTGTTTGGCTTCAAAATCATAAATGAGAAAGTAGAAGAGAACCACTTGCTAGGGTAGCAGCACGAATGAGAATGTCTTTGACAAAACTGGTAGCTCATTAGATTTCACATCCAGCAGTTGTAAAATCCTTCATCATCAAGAGAAAAACAGATAAATACAGGAATGGAAATCCTTAACAGAGAATAGTGGTGAAAGTTTCATTATTTTCTTATTTTTATCACCTTTATTAACATATAATTCACATATCATTGAATTCACCCATTTGAAGTGTAAATTCAATAAATTTAGTAGTTTAAGTATCACCAGAATTAATTTTAGAATATTTTCACCACTGTATCCTTTAGTATCCACTCCCTATTCTCTGCCATCTCCCAGCCTCAGGAAATGTGTAGTCTACTTTTTGTCTCTATAGATTTGCCTATTTTGGACATTTAATACAAATGGAATCATACAAAATGTGTTCTTTTATGTTTCTTGTATTCAGTATCTTATTTTCAAGGTTCATGCATGTTTCAGTACTTAATTCTCTTTACTGATGAATAATATTCCACCACATGAATACACATTTTGTTAAATTATTTCATCTATAGACAAACATTTGGGTTGTTTTCCACACTTTGCCATTTTAAATAAATCTGTTATAAATATTTTTTGTACAACTTTTTAAGTGGACATGTGTTTTCATTTGTCTTGAATAGACACAAATGGAATTACTGAGTTATATGGTAACTCTATGTTTAACTTTTAGAGAAAATGAGAAATAGTTTTACAGAGTGTACATATTATATTCCCACCAGAAATATACGAGAATTTTGATATTTCTACATCCTCACCCATATATGCTAATTCCTTTGTTTTTCATTATAGCCATTCTGAGAGGATGTGAAGCGGTATTTCATGATTCTAATTTGTGTTTCCCTAGTGACTAGTGATTATGAGCATATTTCATGTGCTTGTTGACCATATACAAATTTGGATAAATGTCTATTTAAATTTTTGTTCATTTTTATTTAGGCTATTAATCTGTTTATTTTTGAGATATAGTTCTTTACATATTCCATATATGTCCCTTGTCACATACGTATCTAAAATATTTTCTTTCATTCTGAGGGGCTGTCTTTCAAATTCATGATCATGACATTTGAATCTTTTTTTTTTTTTTTCAAATTTTGATAAGTGCAACTTATTGGTCTTCTCATTAATCACGTTTGCTTTTAGCATCATATATAAAAAAGCACTGCCTAATCTAAACTATAATTTACTTCTGTATTTTCTTCTACATTACATAGTTTAACCTTTTTTATTTAGGTCTATGATTCACTTTGAGTTAATTTCTACAAATCATGTGAGGTCAAGGTCCAACTTCATTCCTTTGTGTGCTGTCCCAGCTTTATTTATTGAAAATATTATTCTTTTCTAATTGGATTGTCTTGGCCCTTTTGGAAATCAACGGACTATAAATATTAGGGATTATTTTTGGACTCTTAAGGTTATCCTTGTTATCCAGATATATTCTTATGCCAGTACCATGTAGTCTCAATTACTGTCAAAATGTCTCTTTTACAAAGTTTTCTTTCTTTAAGGACGATTGCAAATTATAACTAATTTATGATTTGTATGTACCTATCAGGGAAAATTCAAAATATCTGTCTTTCCATTTTTTAAATGGAAGCTTATTCATCTGTGAAGTCTAAAACTCTGGGAAATACTGTTTGCAGGCATACAAATTCATGGCTGTGCCATCCTTTTCAATGCAAAATTTCAGGTGTTTCTTAAAAGATCAAGTGACCATCCCCAGTTCTCTTGATAACATCATTGTAAACAACATACTCCTGAGACTGAAGCAGAGTTTGACTAATTTGCCAAATTTTTCACTTTACACTCATCAGCTACATTTAGATTTCCATCCCTTTCAGGGAGTAAAACCACTCAGGACCACAGAGAAAACATCAGAGAGATAACAAGAACATCTCTTTGACAACCAGCCACATGTGACAGCAGAACGGCCACTTTGCTATCGCAGAAGAGAAACAAAGGCGACTTCAATGCCTTCTTTAATGCCTGCTGTCAGTTTCCTCAATGGTTATGGCTGAAATTACCTCTGATATGTTCAGAGAGGTAAGTAGAATGACATGAACACAGACCTAAAAGAGGCTTAGAATGGACATGAAATATTTTTATCTTAGCTTTTCTAGAATATACCTGTTACTCAAAAATTGAAGGATAGACTTTGGTGACACCTTAAATGCATCTGAATTATACTTTGTCTTACAAAATTCCCTTTGAATGAACAATTTAGTGCCAAGTTACTTTTTGTAATACCTGACAACTTTAAAGGAATCTAATTAATCCCAGGTTATAACTGCAAATGAAATGTTTCCACTTCAGTGGATTCTACCTAGTAAAAGCATTTAAAATAAATAAATAGTCTCCTGGGTATGATCTGGATTCAGAATTATCCAACCCCCCTCACCCCCAGCTCTCACTAATATATGTAGGAAAAAAAGTAAAAAAAAAAAAAAACTACAGACAGCTGAAAGTCTTTGATTAAAAGTCTGTTCTCTTGCTACCAGTATATTGTTTAACACTTTAAAAATTAAAAAAGTAAATATTTAGAAATGATTAGCTTACGTTTCTGAAAGATTGAAAACTCGCTGTGGATCTCCATTCTCAATGGCATATGTTATTGGGTCTCCCTCTCGATCAGTCGCCTTCAGAGAGAAAAGATAAATTTAATTATCAAGTAATTGACATAGCTTCTATTCAGTACAGTATAATACAGATACTAGAAACTTGAAACTAATAGCACAGATGATCCATGATATTTTATAGAATAAAGACTAAAATATGTGCTAATGACTGCATGTAAATACCAGATCCAGGCATTTCTATCGTTCTTTTTCATCTGAAAGCTGCAACAGTGAATAAGAATAATATTCTCTGAATGTATACATAATCTTATCAGAGGGGGAAATACAGTAATGATTTTCATAGAGTTTATTTAATTTTATATGAATAATTCAAAGAAATATGTTAGACTCTACACATTGTCAAAATAATTTAATGCATTTTTTTCCTCTTTTTCTGCTCAAAATATATTGTCTATAAAACTTTATGGTTAAGACTTCTGAAACTGGAGCCAGAGAGCCTGAAATTAAAAATTGGGCTCCAGTTACTAATTGTGTGATCATTTCTCAATATCTTCATTTGTAAAGTGAAAGCTATACAAAAGTTAATAGATGTTGAGAGGGTTAAGTGAAATAATCTGTGTTAAAACACATAGACTAACCTCTGGCACATTGTTTCAGTAAACACTAACCTTTTTTTCCCCCCTTCTTAAGTCATAGAAAATAAAATCTACAGCTTCTGCCTTTGAGTTCTGAGTTTCTCTTACCCAAAATAAAGATATACATTCTATATTGTGGCACTAGATTCTGGGAGTTTGCCATCTAAAATATCCAATAATTTCCTTTTCAAAGATCCATTACATTTCCTTATGGAAGAGGGGTGAATAAAGAAATCGGGATGATATAAGAGGAATATAAGAGGGATCTGCCTAAGTATGACCCCAAGAGGAGGGGAACTACTATTTATTTATGTTAGTTGGTTGGCAGAGATTTCAACCTCTCTGACTGGTAGGCACTGCTCTGGAGTTGGCAGGATCTAAGAAAGTGGGGTTGTATGGGGTTCTTTCAAAGACTGGACAACAACTATCCCAGCCATGAGAGGTTGAGTATGAAACCCCATTTCTAGACCAACAGAGAGCACTGTTTCTGCAGGTAGATCAGGTGGCTTGGACACGGGTTTCAAGGCCCTGGTCATGGGACAGCCCTATCAGCTATCCAGAAACCTCTGGGACCACACAAATCCCAGAGTCCAAGGGCAATATGTGTGTATGTGTGTGTCAGTAGCTCAGTTGTGTTGAACTCTTTCTGACCTCATGGACCGTAGCCTGCCAGGCTCCTCTGTTCATTAGATTTTCCAGGCAAGAATAATGGAGTGGGTTGTCATTTCCTCCTCCAGGGGAATCTTCCTGACCCAGGGATAGAACCATGTCTCTAGTATTTACTGAACGCAGTGCTTTGTGGACGAAGTTTTGTAAAAAGAAAGAAAATGAAGCCACTCAGTCATGTCCTACTTTTAGTGACCCCATGGCTCCTCCATGGAGCCCCATGGATTGTCCATGGGATTTTCCAGGCAAGAGTACTGGAGTAGGCTGCCATTTCCTTCTCCAGGGGATCTTCCCAACCCAGGGATCAAACCCCGGGTCTCCCACACTGCAGATGGCCACCATATGGTGGCTCAGATAGTGGCTCAGAGCTTTGTAGAATTAGTTAAAAATGTCACCTTGGTAGAACACTTCCTTAGCATGACTTTCATAACTTCATATTCTCCTGCTTTTAATTCTATCTTATCAGCTACTACCTATTTTCTTTGACTGGTTTTTCCTCATCTATAAGAGATGCTTACATTGGATGCTCCACAGGTTTGTTCTTGGACCTCACTTACTTTGTCACTCCATCCAAATGTAGAGCTTTAAAACTATCTCTATGCAGAAGACTCTCATATCTCTAAACCAGTCCTGTCTTCTGAATTTTAGACCTATTTCCAGTACCCTGTTTGGATCCCAATAGATGAACTATCAGTTAAGTTCAGTTCAGTTGCTCAGTGGTGTCTGACTCTTTGTGACCCCATGGACTGCAGCACTCCAGGCCTCCCTGTCCATAGCCAACTCCCAGAGTTTGCTCTAACTCATGTCCATTGAGTCAGTGATGCCATCCAACCATCTCATCCTCTATCATTCCCTTCTCCTCCCACCTTCAATCTTTCCCAGCATCAGGGTCTTTTCAAATGAGTCAGCTCTTCGCATCAGGTGGCCAAAGTATTTTAGTTTCAGCTTCAGCATCAGTCCTTCCAATGAATATTCAGGACTGATTTCCTTCAGGATGAACTGGTCAGATCTCCTTGCAGTCCATGGGACTCTCAAGAGTCTTCTCCAACACCACAGTTCAGAGGCATCAGTTCTTCAGTGCTCAGCTTTCTTTGGAATCCAACTCTCACATCCATACATGACTACTGGAAAAACTATAGCTTTGACTAGATGGACCTTTGTTGGGAAAGCAATGTCTCTGTTTTTAATATGCTGTCAAGGTTGGTCATAACTTTTATTCCAAGAAGCAAGCACCTTTTAATTTCAGGCTGTAAGTCACTATCTGCAGTGATTTTGGAGCCCCCCAAAATAGTCTGTCACTGTTTCCACTGTTTCTGCATCTATTTGCCATGAAGTGATGGGACCAGATGCCATAATCTTTGTTTTCTGAATGTTAAGCTTTAAGGCAACATTTTTACTCTCCTCTTTCACTTTCTTCAAGAGGCTCTTTGGTTTCTCTTTGCTTTCTGCTATAAGGATGGTGTCATCTGCATTTCTGAGGTTATTGATATTTCCCCCGGCAATCTTGATTCCATCTTGTGCTTCATCTAATCCAGCATTCCTCATGATGTCCTCTGCATATAAGTTAAATAAGCACAGTGACAATATACTCTTGACGTACTCCTTTCCCGATTTGGAACCAGGCTGTTGTTCCATGTCCAGTTCTTACTGTTGCTTCCTGCCCTACATACAGATTTCTCAGGAGGCAGGCCAGGTGGTCTGGTATTCCCATCTCTTGAAGAATTTTCCTCAGCTTGTTGTGATCCACACAGTCAAAGGGTTTGGCATAGTCAATAAAGCAGAAGTAGATGGTAGGTACTGGAGTGGTGCTGGAAGAACTGTGAAGAGATACCCCATGCCCAGGGGCAAAGGAGAAGCCCCAGCAAGACAGTATGAGGGACAAAATCACATTTAGAATCAAACCTGATACCTGCCAGAGATGCTCACACATTGCCCTGTGCACACCAGCATCCACAGAGACTGAGACAGAACTATGTTTAAGTGTCTCCTGAGGAGGTACGGGTCAGCAGTGGACTGTCACAGGGGCAGGGGCTCCGGGTACAGTAGACCTGGGTATGACATGAGCCCTATTGGAGGAGGCCGCCATTAACCCCACCATAGAGCCGCCAGAACTTACACAGGACTGGGGAAACAGACTCTTGGAGGGCATACAGACTCTTGGAACCTTCTGCACACCAAGACCCAGGAGAAAGGAGCAGTGACCCCAGAAGAGACTGTCCCAGACTTGCCTGTGAGTGTCCAGGAGTCTCTGGCAGGGGCATGGGTTGGCAGTGGCCTGCTGTAGGTTCAGGGCACTGAGTGTAGCAGTGTGTTGCTGGGACCTTTTGAAGGAGGTCACCATTATCTTCATTACCTCCACCATAGTTTGCTCTCAGGTCAAATAACAGGGAGGGGACACAGCCCCACCCATCAACAGAAAATTGTATTGAAGATTTACTGAGCATGGCCCCACTCATCAGAACAAGACCCAGTTTCCCCCTCAGTCAGTCTCTCCCATCAGGAAGCTTCCATAAGCCTCTTATCCTTCTCCGTCAGAGGGCAGACTGAAAACCACAATCACAGAAAACTACCCAATCTGATCACATGGACCACAGCCTTGTCTTACTCAATGAAACTATGAGCCATGCTGTGTAGAGTCACCCAACATGAACAGGTTATGGTGGAGAGTTCTGACAAAACGTGGTCCATTGGAGAAGGGAATAGCAAACCACTTCAGTATTCTTGCTTTGAGAACCCACTGGACATGAACTATAGACACTCCCAATTTAAAATGTTAAAATCCCCAATCCTGATCTCTTTGCTACTCTCCCACTGCTGCTTTCAGTCTTCATTATCTCAGTAAATAGCAGTAACTACAACTTTCTACCGCTTGACCTTAACTGAACATTCTTAATCCCTAATGCAACCCATCAGCAAATCCCACTGGGTCTATATTTAAAGTATCTGCAGTATCTGGCTGTCTCTGAATTCCAAATACCACCTCCCTCATGGATTTAAGTAATAATCATCTGACTAGTACTTCTGTCTTCTCCCTTGTACCTTCACCATAGCCCATTTTAATTAAGCAGACAATGTGATCATTTTTCCCAGGTCAAGATTCTAGTTTATTTTTTAATAAGGTTATTGCATTATTATGCATTATTACATACACACACTCAAAGACACACACAAAATGGTATATAATAAAATAGCAAAATACAATGAAACAACAAACTACTTATGATAATATCTGAAATATTCCAGTTAAATCTAAATCTAAAATTTTAAAATTCATTAAATTAATTATAATGCAAGTGCAAGTGTAGAGGCTAAGAAAGAAAATAAACACATACACACAGTCAATTGAATTGACAGCATTGTCAATTGATATATCCCCTTTGTTTTTGGTTCTTTCCCAGATACATATTAGTGAGAAAGATAAAATGGAATTACAAATAATACTTCCTCAAGAAACACAGAATTAAGCTGTATCTGGAGATATATTTTAGCACTAAGAAGTTCACACTAAATGTTTTCTGTTGGTTTTCCTCTTTCAGTCAGTCATTTTTACCTATCATATTGTTACAGATTCATCAATGTCTCTTTGTTTTTGGCATGTGGTTGCTATTGTTTTTGAGAGAAAATTTATTATATTGTATTTCAAAAAAACCAAAACAAAAAAAATCCGAAAGAAAAAAAACTTGGGCAAAAAAATTTAAAACCAAAAGAAAGGTAAAACCTGCCTCCAAAGGAACAAAACCTACCCAAAAATTAAAAATA